ATCCCGCAGATATCATTTTACTTCTAGCATTTTTGATTCTCACCTACAAAATACAATATGCAGAAGAAAAAGCACAAACTGCTTGTAAGATTAATATCATAAATCTTCAGAATCAGACTTACAACAAAAATGTGGAACCAAAATAAAATAGTGGGGCCAATACAAAATAATTTTGGATTCAAAATCCTAGAAATAAACAGTATATTTATATATATACACACACATACTGGTAAAAAATGTATAGCCTGAATGCACTGTAAGTCGCTTTGGATAAAAGCGTCTGCTAAATGCATAAATTATTATTATTAAATTAATTAAATTTTATATATATATATATATATATATATATAATAAAAGTATTATATTAAGGATGAATGAATGAATGAAAGAATGAATTATGCATTTATATAGCGCTTTATTGTGAATTTTTGTACACCCAAAGCGCTTTACAATCATGTGGGGGGGTCTCTCCTCAATCACCACCAGTGTGTAAGTGTATATATATATATTGAATAATAAAATAGAAAAATATTAAAATAGCATATAAAATTAATTATTCCTGCTCCTGAACTAGATTTCTATATGCAATTAGGTTCTTGTCTATGTGTTTGTTTGTGTAGTTACCAGAGTCGCTCCAGATACAGTACCAGTCTTTCAATTTGATATTTTGTTAAAGAACATTCAATGTGATATTCTATATGAAAATTGCATGTTTATGAAGACAAGAGCAAGGGTTGCTGGGAAAGCATATAAGACCTTTCCAAGCAAAGCTCCCCTCTGAATGATGCATTATTTAAAAGCACTTTGGTTTATTCTGACGCATTGCTGCTTTCACAGAAACACTTTCAAATCTATCGTACTGAGAAAAAAAAAAGAATGTGCAACTCTTTGTTCATTTGGCATTGAGAGGAAAACTCTAATTCATCACAGCTGAACCATGTATTGCAATTATTTAACAAGGTCATATTAAAGTTTCTCCAATCTGTAACCCTGAGAGGGCTGTTAACCATAATGTTTTGTGATACAGTTCAGATCAAAACTAGCAGTAGCTAGCTGTTCAGGAAACCTATGTATAATGAAAATCCTCCTGTTGCCCAACTCAAAGAGCATAGCAATGGCAAGGCCATGGGTTTGAAACCCAATACACATACTGATAAAAATGTATAGCTTGAATGCACTTCGATTTGGATAAAAGCATCTGCCAAATTAAATGTACAACAATACAAGCAAACATCTCAGCCAAAGCATTGAAAATCTTAGAAACAGTGCCTGTTTATTCACCCCCTCTCTCTTCAAAATGTTATTTGGCGATGCATGTCTCTAATACCTGTATTAGTATGCATGAGATTGCTCATACACAGCACACACACCTGCTTTGCACATGGATTTATCCTCTTAAGATACATTTTCAGCCGCATAGGCTTTGGCAACACTTTGGAATTGAGTTCAATGGAAAAATAAATTAAATCCCATGTTAACATCCCTGATGAATATGAATCAGTCAGGTGGTATCACTGTGTAAATGTAAAGGTGGTGTAATCACTTTTTTGTGTGTACTCTCTCAGGTACAGACCACTACCATGTGCATCTCTGTGAGTCTGAGCGGTT